TTTTTCCGGAAATTTTCGAAAATTTTTTTATGGGTGGAGATCTCCGGAGATCTCCACCAAAAAATTTCCTGATGTATCATTAAGGTTATCTCAGAAACTGCCTATAAGTTGAAGCTGCCTGCCACTCTGAAGATCCATCCTGTGTTTCATATCTCACTGCTCAAGCCATATAAGTTATCACTAAAAGAATTTGAAAAACCAATGCCACTACTAGCCATTTATATTTTTGCAACTGGAAAAGAAAAATACAAAGTAAAAGCTATTCTGAACAAGTGAATTGTCTGAAACAAGTCCCAATATCTCATCAAATGGACTGAATACTCCTTGCATAATGCCATCTGGAAACCCCAAGAAAATCTGATCAATGCTCAAGAAAACTCCAAAAATTTGAGTCGACGAGGACATCAAATTCTAAGAAAGGGAGAATGTAACAATTCTAACCCTAACTGCACCATGGAATCCATACTGCAACTGAGAACCAGATGCCCTGAAAAGTATCTGATCTGCACCTTATGACCTGCAAGTCTGAAACATGTTTCCAGACAACTGTTAGACACATGTATAGTGTGATTCTGATCTTAACGATATAATATGCTGCCAAGCACCACTAATTAAATTACTATGAGTTAATATAACCAAATTAGAAACATAAGGCTATAGAATGTACATATCTTTTTCTTTTTTATTTTTTTTATTTACTTTTTCATTTCATTATGTTAATTAAATACATATGTCTCCGAAGGTTAAGCCCAATATAGATATATGTATTTTTATATTTATTTATTTATTTATGTATTTTTATGTTGTATAAAGCTGACATATATAAAAGAATGCCCTTTTAACCTTAATAAAGTTTCAACTCTATTGGCGTTAAAATTACAATCGCTCAAGTTTATTACCTTTTTAAATCACTAATAATTATTTAAGACTTTTATATTTTTTGTAAAAGTAGTTGATAATCTGATGTTAATGATTTTTATAAATATTTTTCTTATTGATTCAATTAATAAAATCAGACAAATATTTGCAATCTTGCAAGACCAAATTATTTTCTTGAGTAGAAGAACTATTGTTATACTTTTTTATATTCGAGATATTTGTTTACTACTAAAGACATTGTTATATAGTTATAGGAGTATTTCTTTAGAGTAGTTTCCAAGAACATTGATTATTTCATAAGTAATACCTGATATACTGAATATTTTATTTGCTGGAACTTCACTAAATATGTTTAAAAGCTTTTCTAAATTAATTTAATTTTAAGTTATATATATATATTATCTGAAATTAAATTAATTGAAAGATATACTTCTTTTTATTGAATATCCATGAAATTAAAGTTGTTGTTTGCAAGAATTTTTTTAAAGTGGTTATTTATAATTGTTTTGATTTCATTAGAGGTATTAGTCAAGTTGCCCTCACTGTTCTAAATTGTATTGAAATTTAGAAAAGGCTTTAAATCACCCAAGGCTTTTTTAATAAACTTTTTGACTTTTTTCAGAACTTAATAAAGTTACTTATGAAGGCTATACAGATTTGCTCTATCTGTTGCTTTTTGGCAGTAGAGCCTTTCTTAATCAATACTTTTTTTATGTGGTTAAATGATTTAATAGTAGTTGAGAAGTCTTCAAAAGTTTTGTGATAAATGGAGATAATGCTTCTTGAAAGTTTAATTTTTAGGTTTGAATGTTTTTTTATTTTTTCAAAAATTCTTTTAATTTTTTTGATCATTCTAAAGTATTGGCCATTATCCAGTTCCTTAACTTTTTATATTGTTGGTTTAATTAAGAAAAGATTGTTTCTTGCTATATAAGTTAAAATGTTATTGAAGGTAATCCAAAAATAAATCTTAGTTGCAATTATTTTGAGATCAACTTTTTCTATAAAATTATTTTTTTGTTGCTCTGATACTTGCTTTCAGTCAAACAGCTTAGTCTAATATCTTGAAGATATTAATTTATATTCAAACCAATCAAAATAACTTGAACTTGCTTGTGGTTTGTATGGATTGATAATGAAATGAAAGTTTTGACATCTAGGACTTTAGCTTTCAAGTGAATGATATATCAAATTTGATTAATTCTTAAGGCACTTGATTGTATTATGTACATGAATTCTTTTTCTTTGTAAAGTTGTTTGATATATTAATTCAGTTATATATGTAATTATAGATTCTTTTTTTGGGATATATAGTATAGTAGAGATATTTATTGCTGAAGAGTTTAGTGAATATGAGTTGAAGTCTTTAACTATAATTTGGTGTATCAGTTTTTTTAATTTTTTGATATGTTTAATTAAAGAATTTGTTACTATTTTCTTTTCTCAGGATTATGGTGCAAATATATGAACATAATAATTAGATCAATTTTTAGTTTAAATTTGAAATATGCTATATATCAGTATTCATTTTTCATGTAGATTTCAAATATATGACTGCTTATATTTTTACTAATTATTAAACAAGCACTATTTTTTGGCAATTGCAAGAGAATGCTGATAATAATAATTTAATTGTTAAGCTTCTTTGGAAGAAGGTAGTTTTTTGATGCTTTTGTTTCAAAATAATACAGAATTGATCTTTTATTTTTAAGATTATATGCTAATTGTCGAAGGTTCTGTAGTGCTAGAAAATTTTGAATTTTTTCTATTTTTATTTTATTAGATCTAATTCCATCACTATCAACAATATGATCTAAAAATTCAATTTCTTGCTTGAAGAAGGTAGATTTACTAAAGTTTAACTTTAGATTTGCTTTTTAGAATATAGCAAAAATTAAGCTTAAATGATTGCAGTATTTTATAAATGCACTAAAAAAAACAATTATGTCATCTAGATATATAGCTATAAAATTTTCAATATGGTTTCTCAAAAGTTGATCCATTAGCCTTTGGAATATTGCTAGAGTATTATATAATTCAAATGGCATAACATTAAATTTGTATATTTTTATTGGCATTACAAAAGCTATCTTTTCTTGATCCTTTTCCTTCATAACAATTTGTCAATATCTATTTATTAAATCTAGGATACTGAATCATTTTGCTTTCACAAATAGTTCTAATAAATCATCCATATGAGATAACAAATATATGTTTTTTTTTATGATTGCATTTAGCTTTCAGTAGTTGACATATAATTATAGTTTACCTAAAGATGAATTCCTAAATTATTTGTGAAAATATAATTCAAATGTCCCTTATTATTAAAAATTTTTATTTCTATATTAAGAAATAAAAAAAACTACTTGCAAAAATTTTTTATAGTTTTAAGTATCTATACAAATCATTTCTGAAATTATGTTTCTATTGAAATAAAGAACTAGAAATTATATCCTCTAGAAGATATGAATATAAAGAGATATAAATTTTATATGCTAAATACTTTAGGGACCCATTTTTAAGTTTATCTTCCTTTTTGACATGACTATGATTGGTAAAGACCAGGGGCTATATAATTTACTAATCAGTTCTCTTTCCTTTAGCTAGTTAAGTTCTTGCTTCATGAAGTCCTTTGTAGTAGGTGCTATATAATATGCAGCTTTCTTGATTAGTCTGGCATCAGCTATATTGATCTCATATTGAACTTCATTAGTGCATCCTAGTTTTTGAATTGATGTTGTGAAAATATCACTTTCTCTATACAACAGTATCTTTATTTCTTCTTGCTACAATATATCCAACTCTTCATTAATATTGATCTCATCAATCTTTTTTTAAATAAGCACTTCTTCATCTTTCTCACTGCTGATAGGTAATTCTTTTACTTGTGCTAGAAATATAAGACAATCAAGTTTGTTTTTGGTACTATTATTATCAAATTTCTCCCCAGATTGATTTGTCAGTTATAAACAATCTTGTTTTTCTTTTTCTTTTCTATTCTCAGGTAATATTTTTATTTATTTACTTTGATTATTTGAATTTTGTTAATATTATTTGTTATTATTATTACCAATATATTTTTCAACTTGTGACAAATAAGTTGCTGAATTTATATTCTTTGGTTGTAATTTCAGGAGTTCTTCTTTATTAATGATCTTTTTGATAAAATATCCTTCAACTTCCTCTATCTTTTTGCTTTTGTACTGTAAAGCATTTAGTAATTCATTTTTTTCAATATTACTATTTATATTGCTATCACTTTTTGCCTTTAGTTTAGTCTGTTTCTTATTATCATCACTCTTTATTATAGAGATCTTAATCAATTTACCTTTGTACTGGAAAGTAAATTTTCATTTGTTAAAACAGATACTCACTTGTATTCATTCTAATCAATTTCTTTCTAATAATAGAGTTTCTTTGTCTAAATCAACTACTTGTAATAGGCAAGCAACAAAAATATTACAAATAATAATTTCTAAACTATTGATATATTCTAATGTTCTTATTCTGGTGCCTATGATAAAAATAATTAACATTGTTAATTTTTTTTTTATTTTTAGTTCCAATTATTTCATAAGTATTTTTGATATAAAACTTATAACAGCTCCTATATCAGTAGTAACCATTATTACTTGTCCATTAATTTTTACTTTACATCTTGTAGCATTTATTCTTTTTTTTACTTTTATATACAGTAATTAATTTTCTGTTCTATATAAGATCTTTTCAATATGAAAGCAAGATTTTATTATTGTTCTAGCATATTCAACATTTGACCTATTGACATATTAGCAGATGTATTAAAGAGATCTTCTACAATGTTATACTTGGGTGTTTATTCTATTTAAGACAGGCCCTTCTTTCTTTATGATTATTTCAGTTTTGATAGGGGTGGTGAAACTGGTACTAATAATATTGCTTTCCCATTTCTTCTATTTTCATCTTTCACTAGTGTCGACAACTTTATCATGGTGGATTGCATAACTGATGCAGTTTGTATAATAGGAGGTGTTCATGGTTCTATTTGAACAATAGGATACACCTCCATTTTCTCTTTTTCTTTACCTTTTTCTTCTACCTTCTTTTGATTACATAAGCAATCTTTTTATACAGATTTATTTCGAAGTTGTAATTTTTGTAGCCTTCTGGCATAGGATAATTTTTCTTTCTTATCAAATGCTTGATATACCTTTACTATTTTTTCAAAGAAAGCTTCTGTAAATCATTTATTATTAGGACCTGCAGTAGCTATTGTGACCATACATGTGGTCGTATTACCATAAAAGGAAATTTGATCGACAATACGATTCCGAATTAAATACGAATTCCAATTATTTACTATATGTTACTTAGTAATTCGACCATAATACGGTTTTTGAAAAATGGTTGAATTCAATTCCACCACATGTATAACCCTGACTATTCAAATGTGAGCTGAAGTGATTAATAGGAAAGAATATCCCGGTGAGTTTTTCAGAAAGTGTTACTATATCTCGCTCAACTGGATTATAAGCAGATTGCCTAGGAACATGGGTCCGCACAGTTAGATAATCTAAATCTTGGTTTTTAAAAAGCTTAGAATATTCTAAAATATTCTTAAAATGTTTTGGATTTTCATCTGGGCCTCCATTTACCAACAAGATCCAGATTGATTTTATTTTCTCTTTACATCTTGTTGTTTCTTTAAATTGTTCATCATGTACAATTTTTATAAAATCTGCCATATGATTTGTCGACGTTGTTTCTACAAAGTACTCTGTATGTACGATGATGCCTATATGACCAGTACGAAGGGTGTTACTACTGTCTGATGGATTTATAAGCAGATATATTGATGGAATGAGTTTTTGTTTTGTACCCATAAGAAAATCATGGTTTGCTATTGTCATTGGCTCATTAACAGATTATATCATTTTGAATGTTCTTCCCATAGCAGGTATGCTTAAACCGATTTTGCTTTGTCATCTTGGGAGATAATAATCGAATCATTTGGAAAACTTGCAGCAAAGGTTTTCGTCAACTTGACTGATGCTAGACAATAGTGCTCATCAATGTGCACTTTCATCTTGGTTTGAGCAACTGAACTAATTGCTATTTGAGCCGAATGGTGATGTCACTTAGTGACAAAAGTGGTTGAATGTCGCAAAAGGAGGTATATAAACAGAGTCTGTTTTGTAAGATAGATTTGATGTTTTTTTTCAAGTTTCTTTTTTAAATGCTTGATTGTTCTCACTTTAATCATACTCTTTCTTCACTTTGCAAATGCTGCCCCAAATTCAACACAGTCGTGAATCTTATTCCACAAATCAGAATAAATAGTGGCAGCTGATGGGCATCCTGGTTTATTATACATTTCAACAATGCCCTCTTCTAGGCTTCTAACCTTTTTTTCCCGAACTCTGGCTTGTGAAGCAGCATAACATTTAAGTTTTGCCAATCTTTTCTTCTATTCAGCGATCTCGTTATTGGCTTCTTCCAACTTTTTTCATAAAATATAATAAATATCAGGATTATTAGATATATTTATTATTTGTATACATTGTTCATATTTTTTTTGAGCCTTAGCTATATTTCTTGTTGCATATTTTTGACCAATAGCATTCGGCACAAGTTCAATGGTGCTAAGAAGTGATTGTTCAAAAGTAGATTGGATTATTGCCATCTTACTAGAAGTAATATATTGCCAATGGGATCGGATTACTAAAAGAGTAATATTAAAAAGTATTTTTATTTTGGTCTCAATATCTTTTGCATTACTTTTTTTAATTTTTTTTCATGCTAGGTTATATTCTTTCACCAAATTTTCCTTATTTTTAGGATCCCAGAGTGAACCAAATAATTGTATACATACGCATTGCAATATCTTTGATAGGTGTTTCCCAGATTTTTATAAAGAAATGATTTCAAAAGGTTAGGTGTTAAGAGAAAGGTTTGCATTATAGATAGTCATGTCGCACAATCAAGAAAAAAGTGATCTAGAGGATATAGTGTTTTATAATGTACCGTGTATTTGTATCTGGCATTTACAGGAGGCATTTGTAGTGGTGGGTTTTGGCAGGAGGTTTATAATTTAGCGGGTATTAGTGGATAATTTATAAATACATATATTTCAAAGAGCCGAAATATAAATATTTAAGAAATTGTTACCAAATCATTACAAATAGTCCAAAGCCATATCTCGAAAATGTTACGTTCCGATCGATGAAGCCTGATAAAATACCAAAGATTATCGAATTTTCTTCCGAAAGAGGGACAGTAGTTATATTATATTCGAAGATTTGTGTAATGAGCCTAAAAAAATACAAGAAAAGATTATCCCTTACTTCACTGAGAGACACCATTCCAACATCAGTTCAATATACATAACTTAAAGTTTTTTCGACTGTTCAAATTATAGAAAAAATTTAGATTATATTGTACTATTTAATGGAGCTGGCACACATGATAAACTAATTGATATTGTTAGGTGTTATACAAAAAAATAGTGTAATACTGTTGATATAATTGATAAAAATTTGCAAGATTGATAATTCATCGTAATTGACTTGACAAGAGCAAAAGAGGATCTGCTCTATATTTGTTTGGGTTGGGATACATCATTAGAATTAAATAAATTAAATTAAAATTTATAGATGCAAGTATTTTTTCTGCTCTTGACATAATCAAGCATTGTGAAGTTTGTAAATTATATATTTATTGTATATATCAATCAATCATTCATTATAATAAATAATACATGATTTTGATCTAAATAATAGTTTTATTATCTTGTTCAAGAATTACTTATCTATTTCTCTTTCTTTGCATTATCAAATTATAATATGCTATTAGCCAATTATAGTTAGGATTATATATGTGATGGAATTGAATTCAACTATTTTTCAAAAACCGTATTATGGTAGAATTACTAAATAACATATAGTAATTAATTGGAATTCGTATTTAATTCGGAATCATATTGTCGATCAAATTTCCTTTTATGGTAATACGACCACATGTATGGTTAGGATCACAAGGAAGGGGAGGTTGGCTCTTAATAAAATTTTATTATGTGTTTTCTGGCACTTCCTTAAATGTTAACTTATTCTATTTTATTGTTTCAATGATACTAATAATGATTCATATTTTTGAAGAAGATTTATCTAGGAGATAAAAGTTCTATTACTAGTTTAAATCATCTAATTTATTGATTCAACTTTAAGAAATAATAACTGTTTTGAAACCAGGATTTATGTTAGTATTTTATAGATTACCTTTTTCACTTTATATCTTTGACTATCTCTCAAGAGCAGAGTTAAAGAAAAATAAGTTACATCTATATACTTCCTAGTAAATACTCTAAAACTGTAAATCTTGATTGGTACAAGTTACCAAATCTAGAGGACAAAGAGTCAAATAAAATATAACTCCTTTTTTATTTTTAAATAAACACTTCAAGAAAATTTGATTGCTAAATAAAATACAACTTTTAACTCTTTTCACTGATTTCCTTGCCAATCCAAAAAACAGACATTCTCAAAAATAATTTTTATTTTTGATAATAAAGTCTATATACTTTCTTTAAAAACATTACTCTCTAAAGGCTATTGCCTTCTCCATTTGTTTGCCTTCTTTCTTCGAAAAACTTTGGATATTTCAGTGACAAAATAAACAAAATTTTATCCATCTGATCTATAGCAAGAACACCTTACTGGAAAGAAGAAACTTGCAGAAAAATATCCTTCACTACTTTTTCCTTAGATCAGGAATTTCAGAAAGTAAACCACTAGTAAATATATTTCCCAAGACCCATAAGAACCTTGGGTTCAC